GAGTGTCGAATTAATAAACCAACTATAGTGACTCACCTCACCAATACGTTCAATTAAATAATACATCTAAACATAATTGCGCACTGATCCACGTATCCGTGTTTTCCCCTCCTTTTATTTTATCCTCCGTCGTGGATATTAAAACAAACATCCACTAACTAGCGAATAAAACAAAATATGAACCTACTCAAAAATCATATATACTATTCTTTCAAAAATCGCAGACTCTTTTTAGATAACCTAATGCTTCCCAAACAGTAAACTTCGCCTATCTCCACAGACCAACTCATGGCAAACCGCAAACAGAATCGCCTAAGTGATATTCGAACGGTTCTTATAGAGGTCACACCATCCAATGGCGATCGCCACTGGATTTCTCCTTAAAGTGTAAACAAGTGATGCACATTATGAAAAATCATTCGTCCTCGTTTTTTAGGGCTTAGTTAGAACTATATATGAAGAAAAAAATCACGCCGGTGTCTATCTCCAATATTGAGATCCATGGGAGGCTTTTAATAGAATCCTACATGAAAAAGACTGTGATACATTTTAGTGCTCCTATGCGCACCCGTTTCCCAAGCTTTTCTGAAGCAATTTTGTTTTACAGTTTTGTTCAGCATTTAGTGCCGCATTCAATGATATATAATTGGGTTATCAATAATAACTTTTCAGTGCACTATATAGTCAAGTTATCCCTTATATAGCTCTTGTATAAGCCGTATAAGAGATATCACCTGGCTCGCAGGAAAAAAGTGGAAGATTCGCAGAAATTTTTATTGATTCGTCGTTTTGTATGAATTTCTTTTCGAACTATATATAGTTAATAGGGGTTTCACTATGGTTTCCAAATAGGGCCGTTTTTGCTAGCATATCCACCCCCGCCCTTTAAAATTTAGATTTAAAAAAATTTATTAAATCGAGAAATTAATTTTCAAAAAGTTACTTTAAATTAAATTTAGCTTCTAGAAAATTTAAATTTTATTCAAATTTAAATTTTTGCATCAGAAGAATTTAAATTTATTTTAAATTTAACTTGATAGAATTTCATTTAAAATTAAATTAACTTTTCACGAAGTTAAATTAAAATTAAATAAAATGTAAATTGACACCCCTATCTATGGTCGAACTGAATGCAATTTAAATATCTTCTAAACAAACACGCCCCAGAAAATCCGATTCGAGATTTGAAAAATGTGATTTCATATTCGAATTCTCCGACCCCGATTTCCTTCCGTTAACCTTTAGAGAATATGAACGCTTTCTCGAAAAAACATTTCCTTCGTCCGGAAAACTGAACCCAAAATTTCTGAAATCTGACTTCAGATTCAGATTCCCCGACCCCGAAAACCTATAGTAAAGTTTCAGTAAAAAAGTGATAAGCTTACAAATAATGTCAGCGATAGCGGATGTTTTTTTGACCTGCCGCAAACATACAAACGCATTTTTTTTCATATGACCCTCCCTACAGTCGAGGGAATTACTTACAGTAATCCACATTTTTTTTACAAACATTCTCTTCAGAGGCTAATCGTTCGCCGACGTCCCTGTGGGGCCTCACTCACGCCTAGCTGCTACCATTATCTGCTGCGGTGCAACAACAACATCAGAACTCAAAATTTGAAAAAAAAAAGATCACGCATTCGGATTGCCCGACCCTGATTTACTTACGTTAACCTTTATAGGATATCGATACTGCCATATAACGACCTTCCCTTGTCTATTTAAGCCTCCATCGCCCTCATAGATCGTGTTGGCTGTAAGCCCGCACTCAAAAATATCTGATTGGCCGAATTTCCCTACCGTGAAATCCTATTGGTTGAAAGCCCAGACTCAAAAACATCTGATTGACCGAATTTCCCAACCGAGAAATCCTATTGGCTGGAAGCCCAGACTCAAAAACATCTGATTGGCCGAATTTCCCAACCGAGAAATCCTATTGGTCGAAAGCGCACACACAAAAACATTTCATTGGCGGTATTTGGCCACCGAGATCTGTGATTAACATTATTTGATGTATTTTTGACCTTTGACCTTTGACCTTTGACCTTTGACCTGCCACAAACAGACACACAGAAAAATTTATTTTTGTGCGTATGACCCTCCCTACAGTCGAGGGAAAAATAACCCCTGCATATGCAGGTAAAACCACGAATTAGGCAAACCAAACCAGCTCCGCGTCATTCGAGTACCGCACTCTTTTCATTAGAAAAAATCCCTACTGTAGCCTTCTTACTCCAAGTTTTTCAAAACATTAAGTGAATACAGTTTCAACAAAATCACATTCCCTTATGGAATTACATGTCACGTTAGTCGATCTATAACGTATATGAACTGCCATCAATATCGCATAGCATATGGGAACGGTACCATTTTCGCGTCACGAAGGTATCAAATAATTTTAGAACTCTTTACGAGGGATTCTTTAGAATATGTTCTTAAAATCGTTTGGGAACGAAAACTATCTAAATAATACCACCACTTTTTAGAAAAAAATTCGGTCTGTCACAGATATAAATGAAATTTAAATGATCTGATCGCTCTACTGACTCGATTCATAATCAACTCGAGGCTTCGTAAAAAAAAGTAGACTTACAGATCAGACGAGAATATACGAAAAAATATGTTGGAATAAAATTTTTTATTGGGACTGTCACGACGTGGTTCACCAGAAATGTATATAGTCGCGATGCCACCCTTTTCTCAAGAAAAAAACGTATTACAATCAATTTTTATGCGTCGTTCATTTCCCACCCAATAAATCTTAAGTAGTGAAATTCGACCTTGTTATTTTCGAGTAAAATTTAAAACAATGTGGCAAGAACTCTTATGATCTGTTTGAAAAATAAATCACGAGATCATTGTTTCGATGAAAACATTACGAACAAATATATGGAGTAAAAAACAGTTCTGAACAAAACGGCGCAGTCACGCTTGCACCGCTCAGCGGAAGCAGTAATGATAGAGATTTCTGATAACATTCACCAACTAAAACAAATCACTTGCAGTTGGACCGATCTTGGGTATCTAACAAAAGATTTAAATGCTGTTTCTTATAGAGGTGATATACGAATATTCTGGACTAATAATTCCCTGTTCAATAAAAGAAGCAAGGATATAATTTGTCTGACCGAAAAATGGTTGTCGTTTAATCGACTAATTTCGGAAGTCAACCTTATTTTGATCTTCGGTCGAAAAACAATATCGCATATTGAGTAAGATGAAGCTAAACATCACACTCGCCCTGCCCATGACTACTCCGAGATTGAAAAACAATTCAATTTTGTGTGAGTACTAAAACCTTCTTAAGGCGGCCTTAATCAACTCCAGTCCACCTCATGGTTACACCACTACTAGATCAAGTGATCTATTTTTTTGCATTCTGTTTACCGCAGTCATGCACTCGATAAAACAATCAAACATTTTCCTCCCAACGACGTAAAAAGGCTTTTCATTTCAAGGAAAGAAACCAGCTCCTCGTCGGTCGTCGGCGCCACTCCCGACTCGTCGCTTCAGTGTGCCTTCCTTCCATTTTTGGGAAAAAACTCACTGAACCTGTTAAAGCAGTTTCTCGCGTCCAATTCCGATCAAAACATAGTGTTTTGGCGTTAATTACAGTTTGTGTGCTTGCTTTATAAAAAGAAACTAATCTGCAAAGGTAGCAACCACAGGTGCAAAAATAGATTATTTCACTCACTTTCTAGATTCGATCACATCTCATTGAGCCTCCTTCTGCAAAATATAAAGTTTCTTGATAAACATCTGTCGCAATGCCTTTTCTGCACTCCACCAGTTTCTAAATCGTGACAGCACAACTGCTTTCTGAAAGATTGTAGAGACAAACTGAACATACAACCAATTTAATGATGGTGACCGTATTTTTCAGAAAAGCGACAAAGAAAATCGAATCTCATTGACTGAATAAAACCAAGAGCACAAGTCAATGTCCACAAAAATCTGAGAAAAACATCTAATGAGTGGCAGAAAAATCGGGAATCAATCGTATTCTTGATCCAAACCTTTTTAAGAAAAAATAATACGTTGAACCTTATTCATTATGTACAACGACATACACTCTGAAAACAGCGTTTCAAGCCATTTAGAAAGAAAGTCAATCTCAAACTTCGCTTTCCTTAACATCTTTCAGTTAGCTTTCTTTCTGAACTTCTCATCAATTGGTCACTAAGACAGAAACGAAAGTTTTAAGGCCAATGGGCCTCATATTCGAACTCCCCACCACAAAATACCTGCTGGGAGCGCTTTTCCAGAGAACTCGATTTCTATTGGATCCTTGGTCCACCAATAGAGTTGCGAGGCCAATGGGCCTCATATTCGAATTGCCCACCCAGAATACCTGCTGGGAGCCCTTTTCCAGAAAACTCGATTTCTATTGGTTCCCTGACCCACCAATCAGACACCGGACAAACAGACGAATTTCCGTTGTGAAGACTCATCCTTTCAGGATTGAGAACAATAAATCAGATTACAGTTGGCAGGCAATTTAGTCTTATTCTTCATCTTTTCCATTTTTTGTATGATATCTTTTATGAATAAATCCATTCAAACCTCTATGAATCTAAAAACAACACCAAAAAAAAACAAGAGATATCTGTTACGATTTGGTGAACAAATTGTGTCTAAGCTTACTATTGATTTCGAATGAAGATAGTTGATTGCACAAATAATTTGACCTGAGAACCATTTCACCGATTCTTCGTCTAATTTATATTTGGTGAAGTATTGACGCAAACCTCCACAAGGAGCATACTCAAGTAAAAAGTAGACACGTTGAGAATCTTGCATAGCTGCATGCAACCGAATAATAAATGGATTTTTACGAAATGATTCTAAAATATCTCGTTCACTTTTAACATATTTACAACCATCAGATTTGTATGATGTTTCATATGTACGAAGTGCTTTCAAAGCATAATAACGTTCATTATACTTAACTTGATAGACCTAAAAACAAATCAAAACAAAATAAACATATTCTTAACCGTTCGATTTTTCTACGTACAGATGCCGTTTTTGTACTACAAAGCAATCCACAATATTCTAATGAGCAAAGAATTTTTACATCCATATTACAATTTGATAGAATATTTATTTTCCGATGGTAAATTTATATTTACTTTTTATATGTTTGCTCTTGTTTTGTTTTTAAAGCATTGAAATATTCTATTGCATTCGCACGTTTAGAATTATTTTGTAATCTTTCATAGATAGTCCATAATTCCTTTGTAAGTTCTTCTTCAGGATCTGGTGTAGCACATTTTGCAGCTGAAATGTATGTATTCGGTAAAAATGAATTAACAGTCTTAAACACACGAATGACAATTTCATTTAAAATAAAGAGAAAAAAACTTTCTACCTTCTGTTTCCACTCCATACACATTGCTACGACTATGTCTTTAGTACGACAAAACTGGTCTACATTCGATTTATACTTTGAGCGAATAACCTTGTTACATGCTTAAAAAAGAAGAAGAAAAAAACACATTTCAAAACAATACAAAAGCGCTTTAATAAGCTTTATATGTACCTGAACATTTCAAAGCAGCAGATGGCAGCAATACAATGTTACCATCATGATTGCAATGGACAGGTACAATATTCGGCTCATTTACAAAATTGTGTCGAGTGATTGGCATCGAAGACAAGTTGATCTACTCAAAAATCAAATATCATAGAAGTTTTCCTATGAAAAATTCTTCTTGTACATATAGGACATTTTGTGCAAAGAGTTACATTATTGCGACATTTTGCATGAATAAACAAATCACACAATTGACATTGATATGCTCGCATATGAAAATCTCTGAAAAGATTCAAAATGAAAAACAAATAACTTTTTAAAATAAGCGCATCATACCAAAGAATTTGGTTGCAAGCACCACAAAAACAAGGTAGAGTAATGAAGTATCTTAGAAAACAAAATTCATGTTAACTTATTTATTGGTCAATAAATTACTTGACTATAAAATCATAAGTATTAAAAAAAGAATATTACCCCTCGTTCAATTTGGCCAGCATTTTTAATGAATGTTTCAATGTCAGTTGTGTAAGTATCAGTGAGGCGGTTTGTGTCGTCATCAATAGTGATGGTTACTTGACGATGTGATCTAGCCCTTGTTTCAAAATACAATCCACGTACATTCTGATTATATGAACAATATTTTCGTGGATGTAGTTCAACTATTTGATTTTAAATAAAATTACAAAAGTATAAAGCGAAGAATATTACATTACATGTGGGTGGATCGGCTGTTTGAACACTTAATTGTATTTTTTCTACTGGTTGACTATTTTTTTAACGGAACAAAAACGATCAAGTCTCACCCGAATAAAGGGCTCGTTTTCAATTTCATTAGATGCTGCCATAAAAATACTAGTTATTAATATACTCAATTTTTTAAATAAGATAATATCTAAAACTGTTCAGCCCCAGCTAAGAAACTGTAGTGACAGACGTAACAAAAAAGAAACATTACCGAATAAACTACATAAAAAACCAATGCTGAAAAGAAGTTTCATTTCATTTTTTGTCTTTCTTTTTCCTTATCATAACATAAAAAGAAAATGTATCAACCTTATGTCTAGATTTTAATAAATAACGATAAAAAATGAATGTGTGATATCTAGTGATGTTATCAAGGTAGAGCCAATAGAGGTTCAGCTCTACCGGCGGATTCCCGATTCTTGCGGCTTAGAGTTTTATTTAACGATTGAATTTTCAAGTCAAAATGAAATAAAATTATTGAAAATTTCTCAGTTCGAATTTAGAATTTGTATTAGAAGTCTTTATGCAATATTCGAGTGAAAAAAGTGGAGATAGTCAACGCTAGAGAGTTAATTTTTTCGTCCTGAAGCTATGAGTAATCAAAAGCGCTGACCAATCCGTTTTTCCTTTCGGCACCCTTATTGAAAAAGATGAAAGCTATACGGCCAGCTACTGACTGCCAGTTATCATTCACATCAATAGAAGAATTAATAAAAACTAATCTTTTCTCAAACATCAAGTTTTTGTCCCTATTTGATTCAAATAACAATTGGTATACTGATACAACTGCGAGACATAGTGAAGCTATATTATCATACATAATATATCAACATTCTTAATATCTATTGATATGAACCGTCTATTAGATAGCTAATCTACTTCAACACTATTTTTCATCATGCGCAATATTATCATCATAATTACATTGCGCTACGATACACTGATCAGTTGACACATTAAATTACTGTTTTATATGTTTCTCACTGAGCAGCTAGCTGGTGTATGATTTTTTGCATATATTCCAAAAAATAAATTAGTCTGCTTATGCTCAAATGAATCTCTATAAAGTTATTTTTTTCAATATATGTACTAGTCAATTGTGCGTTTAGGGTAACTGAAGTACATGCATAATCATTTAGCTTGAGTTGAATATTTGCTCGAGAATTAATAAATATCAATTAGAACATTTTCAAAAAATCGGTTGTATCTGGAAGAGATCAAGAACAGCATGGTGGAACGAGAAGGATTTAGTTGAACCACACTCAAATTTCTGGTGACACCATTGATTGTAGGTAGTATAGTTTATCTTTTGTCATGAAAGTTTAGTATTATTGCCACACCTTCTTGACTATGTAGACATCGAAGTTTAAAATGAGATCATATTATATTGAAATTTATATTTATTGTTGCTCTAATATTCGAGATGAATTATATTTTGGTGATGTTCGATTGATTCACGGATCATATTAATAGTTGAAATCAATAGTATTTAATATATTCAGTAAGTAAAAATGAATATTTACTATTTGAAATGGTACAATTCAGAAACAATATTCAAATTATATCTATTCAAAACGAATACCTTAAGAATAAATATATAGTCAACAATGGACGAAAATAATTAAATGCAAGCATAGGGGGAAAAACAGGAAAAAAAATCAAATATGCATTGCTTTAAGATAAATAATGTAATTTCTTAGCTTATTCCATTGTAATATTTTTCTCATTTAATGTTTCTTTTTTTTCTTGGTTTTTTTTAGAACAGATAAACCACTATGCGTTCATCAATGTTTATAAAAAGAAAACATTTCAAATGGTAGTCATCCTTTTTTTAATATTATACTCGTAATTATAGATAAGAATATCTTACAAACCTCTCGGAAATAGTTTTCTAAATCATTGAGGTTTAGTATTTATGATTACTAACAGTCTAATGATTGTTTAGGTTTGAACAAAATATTATAATGACCCCCTCCTCTAAAATCAGATATTTGATGCACAAAAATTTATACGTATATGTACATTTGAAGAAAACTCTAATCAGTATGTTCAACTGTGAACTTTGATTGTCATAAGACTGTAGAAATAATCATGATCAGTAATATCAAAGCTAAACTTTGAATTAAACTAGTGAACACGTTTCTAGAAACTATGATGTAAATAGTATGTTTCGATTCATATTAGAATATTCGAAATTCATAATTAAATATTTAATATCTGACTTTTCAAGATTGAATACATATTTTGACATAGAAATTTAGTTTTCAACGGCAACATAAAAATTGCAACAGCCGCTATATAGAATATTTGTTGATGTAAAATAATATTGTATTTATTGCAGCTTGATAGAATTTGAAATTTCTTCGTCAGAAAACTTTAAATTTCAAAATGCAATAAATTCTTTTTTTACATGATTTATTTGTATCGAATATAAAATAAAGAAAAAGTTGTCATTGAATAAGATCATTCAGACACTATTTTCAATAAAATTCAAAAATTTGAAATAATTTTAACTGAAAAAAAGCATAGAATCAGATTGTACATTTGAGTCTTATATCATAGTTTTTTTACGGCATCCATTTACTGTAATATCTAAAAATATAGCAATCCATATCTAAATTATATCAATATTGCCTAACTTAATACAATAGTATCTATTCTGGTGAAAGGATACCATTAAAAAAATTGTTTAATCTAATTTTGTAATTCAACATCTTTTAAATCAATTAAATATCTGAATTAAAAAAGGTTCTGTCTTTTAATTCAATT